GGTCGACCCCACAGACGCATTCATAAATTTTAATATGCTGTTCATTCAAAACGGGAATTTTCTCAAGTATAAATTAATATTATACTATATTAGCATATTGTGTATATATAAACATAGGATAGGTTAGGTTAGGTGTTTAGGTTCTGTTGGCGATTATTTGTATTTGTAGTACGTGGGTGAAGCATTTATAGCGTTGTGATTCGAACAAAATTCGTCAGTGAAACACTTGTTCCAGATATGTTCGAACGTCAGCAGTTGTGATTCGTGTGTAAACCGCTTTTCATTCCAGCCTGTCCTCCAAACAAAGATCCAAAAGTGATTCCATGCACCCGCCAAACCCCCTGTTTATGAATGAAAAGCGGTTTACAGACGACTCACAACTGCTGACGTTCGAACATATCCGGAACAAATGTTTCACTGACGAATTTTGTTCGAATCACAACGCTATAAATGCTTCACCCACGTACTACAAATACAAATAATCGCCAACAGAACCTAAACACCTAACCTAACCTAACCTATGCCTATATATGCACAATATGCTAATATATTATAATATTAATTTATACTTGAGAAAATTCCCGTTTTGAATGAACAGCATATTAAAATTTATGAATGCGTCTGTGGGGTTGACCGCTGAATGTAATGGACTTGAATCGAGGACGGGTTGCTCGTCCCGCATCGAGCTCTGTGACTCCAGTCTCGCTCAGCTCTCTGCTCTAGGCTTCGTCTTAACTTATACGACACTGCCAACAACCGACTGCTGTAACCAAGCAGCAGTTTATTTTGTATGTAACTAGATAAATATAAAAAAATACTAAACTCTGTGTATCTAATCAACCAAATATCGTAACATAATCGTACGTTACATTGGTGAACACAGAGAAACGAATATGGAGATTCAATTCCTGAACCCATTATGAATGTAACCTTTTCCAGTACCATACGATAGCAGGATGGGTATGAGGTGCAAAGTAAATATATTAAATTACAGCCTCGTGAAGTGTAACCAATTTTTCGGTAAATATACACTGAGTTAATATTAGTTCTGATTAATGTTCTAAAACATAAGCTCCCAAACATATACTTGCGGGCTTGGTCAGTATGTATAGCAACAAAACATCAATAGAATATATAAATTGTTTTAATTCATTGTGTCGGGGACAGGCAGCCAGTGCACTTATACAAGTTAGGCTTATATCGAGTTCGCCCCCCCCCCCACCCTCCAGGGGCGAACTACTTACCTTCTCCAGGATGCAACCCCATACATTGACTAACTTTTGGCTACCTATTTACTACTAGGTGAACAGATGTATTAGGTAATAGGAAACGCGCCCAACCATTTTTGTCCCGCCCGGGATTCGAGCCCGGAATTTACTATATTGTGAGTCGAACGACTGTACTACTCTTTACGACCCTTTAGTTAGAAAGATGTGAAACTAATTCCAATTTGTCTACATAAATGTACATAAGTGAAGTCTACCGGCGTTTACTGATCAAGAAATGTCATACAACATAAAAGGTAAGACAAGTATACAATGTGTATATTACTAGTATTATTGATGGTGTAGTGAATTTAGGGGCGACTACGATCGTGGGATCAGATGAGCCCTGGCGTTCACATGAAGGGTTAATCGCGAAGCATAATTGCGAAACGAATGACAATAGGGTTAGGAGACTTCTAGATACTACCACTGCTAGGCTTAGGCTCGGCTACAAGTACCTCTGGGAATTTGTAACATCTGCTGATGTAGATTTGACTAAATGTAAACTCTGATAGCAGAACTATTCGCATACTTTGCGTCATTATATAATGGAATGTGAAAAAATCGCGGAATTTAGAGATAACACCATCAATAGTGTCCAAGAAATGGGTAAGTACTTCATTCATAATGATGTGCTGCCAGGAATCTTAGCGAAGTATCCAAAATTTGCTTACTGTAGGTAATGCATGCACATGACTGTAAAGCTGCCGCCCAGTTGGGTGGGTGTGCAGCAAGACTAGTAACTGTGTGACTCACCATAGATGTAAAGTGCCTTGTATAGTGACTTGTGAGCTTCTTGTTGATCACTTGTGACAAAAGATTATTGATGTGTGTATTTGTGTGGGTGATTAAATATGTATGTGTATGTATATATGTATACGTATGTATATGTACATGTATGCATGAGTATGTGTACATGTATATAAAACATTAATAATTTTGTAACTAGCGTCAAAAGATTGTTATTTGCTTAGCTTGTAACGTACGATTATATTACGTTGTTGGGTAGATGAGATACACAGTTTTAAGTGAGTTTCATATTTATTTAGTAGACCTGGATGCAGCAGTGTCGTCGACGTAGAGACGGAGCTTGGAGCAGCGCAGAGAGCTGAGTGTGGCCGGAGTCGCGGAGCTCTATGTGGGAGAGCGTTGTAGCTCGATGTGGTCCTGGTCTGCTGTCTGTTCTGTGTCGAAGCTATAGCGTCTTGTAGACGATTAGAACTGCCTACGCCAAGTGCTACATTCTTGACTGGAAATTGTACTGTTCGCTATTCCGATGATGATGATGATGATGAAGATTAAGACACCCAAAAGGTGGCACGGGCATGAATAGCCCGTAAGTGGTGGCCCTTTTGAGCCATTACCAGTATCAAGAGCTGATACTGGAGATCTGTGGAGGTGCGACTGCACCCTGCGTGACGGGAGATGTCTCCCGTTCAATGTGTCCAATTGATTGACGATTGATGAAGATTAAGCCATCCAAAAGGTGGCACGGGCACGAATAGCCCGGAAGTGCTGGCCCTTTTGAGTCATTACCAGTATCAATATATGATACTGGAGATTTGTGGAGGTGCGGCTGCACCCTGCGTGACGGGAGATGTCTCCCGTTGCTATTCCTCATATCACTTGCTTATATGGTGATTACACCTCAGCTCCCTCCAACAAGATGAGAAGAGTATTACCTGTAATTGGAGAAAGGATTGTAGCATCTGTAATTAGTGCTAATTAGTTATGCTATTAAGATAATGAGATAATGGAGCGAGTATAAGATTTACTCGCTACAAGCTAAGCGAACTAGAGGATTCAGTTCCTGAACCGATTATGTGCCTTTGTAATCCTTCACACCACCGCCCACGGGATCTTCTTGAGGTTATCTTGAGATGATTTCGGGGCTTTAGTGTCCCCGCGGCCCGGTCCTTGACCAGGCCTCCACCCCCAGAAAGCACCCCGTGACAGCTGACTAACACCCAGGTACCTATTTTACTGCTAGGTAACAGGGGCATAGGGTGAAAGAAACTCTGCCCACTGTTTCTCGCCGGCGCCCGGGATCGAACCCGGGACCACAGGATCACAAGTCCAGTGTGCTGGGATGGGTATGGGGTGCATAATAAAGAAAGAAATTGAATTGAAACGAATGACGCTTATTACCGGAAACTAATATGCGTCGCGGCCAATAAATGCACAGACAGCCAGACGGTTGGGGAGCCCCAGGAGTCCCTCAGAGTAGCAGGCACCGGCACAGCCCCACACAGCCAAAACCAAAAACTCGGCCCCCAACTAAATCGCAAAAGTCATCCAGTGCTCTCCGGCAGAGCAGAAGCCAGCCGCCCACCACGTCTGAGGGCACATCAGGAGCTCACCAAGACCCACCAACACCCCGGGACCTCTCGGCCAAGCCGGTCCCGGAACACCGTCACTCTGCCGGGAGAACCAGCCAGAGCACGTAAAAAAAATCTATCAACAGTCCCGTGACCCAAGGCGATATGTGCGCCAGGCGTCATACAGCAAGACCGTTGAATAGGGATGCCAAACGGCAGTAGCAAAGCCAAGACGCGAAAACAGAACGTGGTTAGGCGGCTCCTAGGCAGCGGTGGATAGGTTACAATCACTTAGTTACTACCTACAGTTAGCAAACTGGAGAGATTTGGCTAAGGTTTCTGGTAGCAGATCATTTTGAATGAAATATCTACACATCTCTGGAATATTTGTTATAGAATTGTTTCTGAATTCATGTATCTTTTCGCATTCCATCATATAGTGACGCAGGGTGTGCGAATAATATTGTTGACAGTTTACATTAGGTCAGGTCTACTTCAGCAGATAATGAGAAATCCCAAAGATACTTGTAACCGAATCTAAGCTGAGCAGTAGTAACATCTAGAAGTCTGCTGATTTTATTGGATGATCCATAGATGTGTGGCTCCTCTTGCATGATAGTATGGTGATAGATGGAATTACTGGTGTCGATTTTTTTTTAGATATATACAAGAATTCTTACATTCTTGTACAGCCACTAGTATGCGTAGCGTTTCGGGCAAGTCCTTAATCCTATGGTCCCTGGAATACGACCCCCACGAAGAATCGTTTTCACAACCAAGTACCCATTTTACTGTTGAGTTAAACAAAGGCTACAGTTAAAGATTTGCGCCCAGTAAATCCTCCCCTGCCAGGATACGAACCCAGGACAAAGCGCTCGCGGAACGCCAGGCAAGTGTCTTGCCACTACACCATGGAGACTGATAATTTGATACCAGTCTTTATCCTTTGATACCAAGGTAAATCTTTATTTGATTTTACTTTGCCTCATATCTATAAGATTTTGTTGAAGTTTTTGGTGTACTATTGCTCTCAGACTGCTTATCGACAATCTAAGGTTATACTCAATTTCTCCTTTAAAGTCGTTTAAATTACATTTATATATTACAGTATATGTGTGTATATCACGAAAATAAACACGTGATTAACATATACACAGTATATAAATGTGTAAAGTGATCCCTTAAGATTATTGATAAACCTCAAAATATCACCGCCGAGCTCTTAGCACTGATGCCATGCTCCACTTCTCGATAAATCAATGCTATTTATTCCTTCTTTGCATTAATTAATACAAAATATTAAAATAGAAGGATTAATTATATACTTTAAAATACATTAATTAATATATACTAATAAATACCGGATGAATAATATGGAAGAGCGATAATAAGTAGGAGGAGAACTAGGTGCGGTGTTGAGGCCCAGACTAGGTGCTGGCAACAGTGACTGTGTCTTAACTCGCCGTGAGGCCGTTATAGCAGAGACTGGTCACTACACCTGGTTACAAGAGTCATCTGGAGGTCGTCGTCGCTCCCTCAGTCATCACCAACACGTGGTTATAATGTCGAAGGGAGAGCCTGATCAAGAATTAAAAAGGGTTAGTTTAGCCAGCAGCAGCTACGGCACTCTGGGGGGCTGGGCCAAATTGTTCACGAATATTCCACATGACTAATATTTTTTTTCTCTTACAACTCATTGTTGATGTGACAACTTATATTGAATCTTGTAACTAGCTCATTAAGATTGTAACTTGCTTAGCTAAATGAACTGTGGGGTTCAGTCCCGGAGCCCATTATGTGCCTCAGTAACCATTTCCACTACCGCCCACAAGATGGGTATGGGGTGCATAATAAATGAACTAAACTAACTCTTACAACTTTACATATTGTTAGATTAGGATGCATTAACGTAGGTGGTGTTAAGTAAGATTTTATGGCTTTGTGTTGTTAGGTTTGTTTGAGTTAGGGTAGATTTGATGAACGCTATAGTAGGTTTTTAAAATTTATTGTTAGTTTAGTTCACTTATTATGCACCCCATACCCATCTTGTGGGTGGTAGTGGAAAGGGTTAGAGGCACATAATGGGCTCAGGGACTGAACCCCACAATTCACTTAGCTAAGCAAGTGATGAGCTAGTTACTAAATTCAGTGCAAGTCGTCACATCAACAATGGGCTCGAGATCGACCACAACTATATTTGCCTGAAACGCTGCGCGTACTAGTGGCCTTACAAGATTGTAAATTACCATGCAATGTATTCTCACAAACCCAATGTACCTTCTTGTATATAAATAAATAAGTACAGTTTCTAAATTGAGCAACTGACATATGTGGAGAGCTAGTGTCATAATTGATATGTTTGTCCTGCACACCGCCTTCCCCCCCCCCCCATCCAGTGGGCAGTGGTGGATAGGTTACAATCACTTAGTTACTACCTACAGTTAGCAAACTGGAGATATTTGGCTAAAATTTTAACTTGATTACTTGCCTGAAACGCTGTGCGTATTAGTGACTTCAGGCCTTGTATGTACTGGCTATATCTATTAATCCAACATTGTAACTCGTATTCACTGTATATACCTTTACCTTAATAGATATCTTATTTCTGGCAGCAGATAATTTTAAATGAAATATTTACACATCTCTGGAACATTTGTTATAGAATTGTCTCTGAATTCATGTATCTTTTCGCATTCCGTCACATAGTGACGGAGGGTGTGCAAATAATTTTGTTGACAGTTTACATTTGGTCAGGTCTACATCAACAGATAATGAGAATTACCAGAGATACTTGTAACTGAGCCTAAGCCAAAGAGGCACACAATATTCAGTGCTGCCTCTCGATTCTTTAAACCCCACCCATAAATAAATGAATATACAGGCGATATAATGATTATCATTTCTGTTGTTCATCCACATGTTCATGCGAGGCATTGTTTTCAGTGATAAATTTTTTCAAGCCTAATTATAGGCACAGACGTACTGATGAGGTAAGGTAAGGCAATTATCAGGAGAAAGTGCTAAGCCATTATGACAATTTAGAGCTTAATGATGATATCAGTCCTACGTGCATTACTCTCGGAACCATCAGATGCAGTTTAGGTTCACATTTGTTGCTTATAAGGTACAATAACAGTATTATTTATAAAGGATGTTTTTCAGTTGTCTTTTAAAATCATTGTTAATTTTTTTGGAGCAGGCTTTCTAAAATACTATCATTCATTTCAATCAGTTATATTTTTGTTAATACAGTATTAAAATAATGAATGAGAATCGGAGCTCTGAGGTGACTCAAACCCACGACCGAGACTCTTCCAGCTACTGACACTAACCACTGAACCACCCTGACCTGATGAAATTGATACAATTGCATTTTTACCGAAATCACAGCAAATCTGGAGGCCTCTACTGAAGCCAGGCCTCCAGACTACTGTGATTTCAGTAGAAATCTGGTTGAAAATAATTTTCACCAAGTCCGGTTGGTTCAGTGGTCAGCGTCTGTGGCCAAATCTTTCTCGGTTGCCGGAGAGTGTCACCTGAGTGCCAGTAGATTTTTTCATTGATATATCTATAGTGTGATTTCTCCATGTAAAACAATTAATGCACATAAATAATCAATAGAACTCTTCCTTATACTTCTTGTGAATTACCAGTTATTAGTAATGTATAATTCCCAAAGCTGTCCCATTTAAGACATTTCAGAAGCACAGTAATTGGTCGTGTAAACAAACTTTATTTTAAATGCCCATTTTGTTCTCCATGGACATGCAAGATAATTTTTTCAATTAGAAGATTATTGCCAATTTGGCCACATGTTCTTTAAAAGGGTCTCCATTTCTACCCCAGACCATCTACACAACCACTGTATTTGAAAGTTAATCTTGAGTGTTTGAGATTTTCCTTAAATTTTGTTTTTCTAGGGTTATTTACTTGAATTTACCTGTACTATACATTATATTATAGAGTTAATAAGTGTAATGTATTGTCAAAATAATTCATGAAATATGTTTGCCATTTAGGCCTTTATGGAACTACAAGGCAAAATGCAGGAAACGAACCAAAAGCTGCGCATTGCTGATGTTCAAGTGGAGAGTCTCAAGAAGCAGATCGTTCATGCTCAACTTACAGATAAGGAAATACAGGTCAGTTAAGTAATATTGTTACCATGAACATGAAATATGACATGGCTCAATATTTTGATAAATTTTCACATTAGATATACAGTACAGTATTTATTCAGTGGAACCTCGGTTTCCGAATGCCCCTCTTTATGAGCTTTTTTGGCATACGAGCTTAATTTCTTCATAAAATTCGACTGTATTCGAGGTTTGCCTTACTTCTCGAGTTTGTTGATACACTATGGGTTGACCGAGCATATGGTTCTGGTGGCGCAGGCAAGGCGCACCTCAGCTTACCAGTGTGTCCCGCCTAATGAGGACCACATTTGAATTCTTTGTCAAGAATTTCATTGCTTTTGTTCCTTTTTGGTTTCTGAACATGAGTAATTATTATATTGTATATCACGCCTTGGGGTCCCAAGTAAGCCTGAGGTAAAGTTCAACCTAAGAAAATAGTTGTGAGGATGACAATAGAGGAAAAACGAGAGATGTGACGTCTCGCTAGACAAGTGATAAAACGTAAGGGAAAACTAATGTCTATAGACAGATTCTTGGTATGACAAGCAAGTAGTGAGCCACAACCAGGTCTTAGTGGTATGCCTGCAAAATGTAGGAAAATGTCATCAGTGCCTGATGTTATAATGGAAGAGGATTCCTCTTCCAAACACTAACACCTCTCCTCCTACCCCCATTCCTCACTGTCTGCCATATGCCAAAAAGTCATCAATAAAGGGAAGGTATACTGTAGTACAAAATATGAGTTTTATTCAGTATAAAATGTATTTTTCAGTTAATATTTTTTGGTGTGTGGAATGGATTAATTAAATTTACATTACTGTATTTCTTATGTGAAAATTAGTTCCGGTTTTCAAATTTTTGATTGATGAACCATCTCTGGGAATGGATTAAATTTGTTAATGAAGGTACCACTGTAATGTGTTTATTATTGTTTCAGTAACATTTGTTGTACTGTATAGTCAATGAACATTTTGAATAATAGTCTTTCATTTTCCAGTCTCTTGGTGAAAGCACTCGAGTATATGAAAGTATAGGGCGTATGTTCCTTTTGACTGACATTCCGATGGTACGTGAGAATCTAAAGGCTAAAGTTTCAAAATGCAACGACAAAATTACAAATTTACAGGTAAGTTGACAATTTGCCCTTTTTTTTTAAATAAAGGACGATTATGAGCAAAATGTTTATTATCAAGCAATGGAGAGAATTCTATACTGTATAGTAAATTGTAAACTGCTTACAATAGTTTTCTATATAGTACAAGTACTAGATAGGAAACTATACAGTTAACAGTTTCACCACCTTTATTTCTTTATTCTCTTTAAATTTGCCTTGAGTAATTGTACCAAGTTGTTAGTGTAATTTTAATCCTAATTTATGGTAAGAGCTGTAACGGAGGCTCATTAGAAGGGAAGTTATAACTTGAAGGGAAATATCACTGGAACAAGTGGAGAAGCTTGAAAAGAAGAAAGTTTAAAAGTATCCTTTGGAGGTACTGGATCAGCCTGTGATGGTTGTGACCTTGCATGCTACAAGCACAAACTGTCTCATGGATCAGGTAATCACAAGGAAAGGCTGGTCCCAGGCTAGGCTTTGATGGAAAGTACTATAGAAAACAACAGGTAATTAACAGGCAGGAAGAATAGGTAGGGCAAGATGTATGTTTGGTGGTTGCAAATGCATCTTAATTGTCCCTTTCTACAGTTCTCATACCTTAATTTTTCATGATTGTGTCAAGCATGTCAAGATGAGAAATTGGGATGTATTTCTGTTAAATTAGAATACAGATTGAAAATAAGAAATGTGTAACACAAATGTCTGTGAATAATAAGACTGAGGACAGTGTTTGATGATTTGGTCACAATGAAAAAATGGATAATGATAGTAAAGAGAGTATATTAGAATGAATTTGAAGGCCTGAAGAGGAGATAGAAGAACTGGCTTAAGTGCATAAGGAAGTAGGGATTGCAAGCAAGCAAGCAGTGAAGAAGTGGTAGGTAATAAAATTAGATGAAATAATTTTGTTAGTGAAGTAAATGTTTGAATTTATTTAATAGAAACTTATAGGAAGCACCTCATACCTGGTTGAGTGAAGTGGTGGGTGGCTGCTGTGAATGTAGAATGTATTACTGAATTGACTGCTGGTTTTACATGCTGCTGCAGTATGTAATGTTAAAGATGCAGCAAATGATTGGGGCATTTATATTCATTCATCTCCATTTTCTTTTATGCCGATGCCTTCCCACCTCATGAAATGGCATAGTGACAAAAATGAAAACATGTTCTTATGACATATCTGTCATTAAGCTGATCTTTAACATATGGCACTTAACACTATCGCTTAATTGTCCAAATTTTTTTTCTGGGGGAGCCCCTGCAGCTCACTGGAGCTATCCAGGTTGATATGGATATACACAGTATTAGATATGGATATACACAGTATTAGATATGGATATACACAGTATTAGATATGGATATACACAGTATTAGATATGGATATACACAGTATTAGATATGGATATACACAGTATTAGATATGGATATACACAGTATTAGACATTGGTATCAGTCAATTTAAGTGGAGTTCTAGGCCTTCCGGGGACCACGAGCCAGAACCTGGCCCCCTCAGAGAGACACGAGGAGCAATGGCCTATAGAAACCCCTGTGTGGTTGGAAGCATTCTATGTCTGCCATTGACCAGGTCAGGCACCCCAGAAAGGTAAGCACTCCAAAACAAACTCCTATTCTGGTTAACAGTGTTACTGAAAGCTGAACTAGTGGACAGAACTTTCCAAATGAAAACAAGCATGACGTCACCATGTCGCCACGCCGCTGTCTGCGCACCCCCCCCCCCCCCAGGAGGGGGAAGGGGGAGCCCCAGACCGTCGTACCGCTACCCACACCCCAGTTCTTTGGCTGATGTGCTTGGCAATGGTCGTGTGTCTCTGACGCCTGTTTTCTTGTCCTCCAGCTCTGAGCCTTGTGGTGTGGCACTGTGTTTTTGGTGGTGTGCAAGCCAGGAATAATTTCACAAGTACTCCGGCTGCATGCGCCTAGGGTCACCTTCCCTAGGTGCCCTGTAAGTACTGGTCTTGGGGCCGCCTTTCACAAGTCATCTTAAGATCTACAGTACCTCCGCTGAATCTTTTGCTGCTCGGTGATTGACTGCCCTTGGAGTCAGCTGGGTGCTTGTGCTTCCTTGTTTGCCTCTGGGTAGGGGCTAGTTTTTGTCACTGGTTGGAGTGCAGGATACTGTGCAGCTAGTTATCACCTCTCATAGCCGCTGGCTCTGTTCTGCCTAGGCATGCTGTTCTCTTGCGGGGTTTTCTTTCTTTTTCTATTTTGTTTTCCTGCCTGGTAGGGGTCTGCCCCTTGGTTTCGTCACACCCTATTGTATCTTGGTGGTCCTCTGCTAGGCCCCCGCGAGTGTACAAAGCTGAACCCGGGGGTTCAGCTTTAGCAGTTTGCTTAGTAGTCTTGGGCGCTGGTTAGTAGTACCCTGCCTAGGCTTTTCTTAGCGAGATAATGCGACCAAGGGCCCTGGGAAACCCCGCAAGGGCTCTGGTCCAATGGATGCGATCCCTGGGTCCCCTCTAGCTTCATGCAAGTTTGCAGGTTGCTCTGTCCCCCTTGTCTCAGGGTGACACTCACCGGTTGTCTGTCATGCTGCCTGTTGGGTCGGTGACACTTTCAACCCATAGTCTTGTGGGTGTTCCTTGTTCGTACTCCAGTTCGCCTAGTCACCTCGATTTTGGTTATGTCTGCACCCCTTGTCCTTCCCCTTCTGTTTGTCCTGGTCCTTCCTCCATCCTAGCTTCCGGCTCTGAAGCATCTGAGGGTTTCGAAGTTGGGGCAGGGTTTAGTTGGTGTTGAGACTCGGGCGGTTTCAGGGGATGCCCTTTTCGGAGTGGTGGAGGAGGCATTTGAGCCTGGTCTTCCAGCCGGAGCTTCTAGGTCTGACCAGTGGGTCCTCTTTGTTCCTGCTTTTTCGGCTGCTTCGGCCTTTTCTTTTGAGACCAGGGGTGTGGAGGACAGCTCAGCCCCGGGTCCTAGTGATGGGGTTCCCGGGGCAGGGGAGGGGTCGACTTGGGAGCCTTGGGCTCCGTTGGACCCCGCTTGGGTTTTTGTACCTTTTCAGCGTGGCTTGGTGTTACAGGGATTGGGGTTCTCTTTCTTCCCATCCTTGTACGAGTTGTATTTGGCATCTACCCTTCCTAGGGTTCAGTTTTGTAGTCCCGTGGGTTCTTCGGTCCCGTCTTTCCAGGGTTTTCGGCCTCCAGCATTCCGTCCCATGTGGTGCAGGAGGCCATCGTGGCTTACCTCCTCACGACCCGGATTACACCGTTGTAATGGATCCTCCTACTTTCGTGTATGACTCTTCGTGTCCCTACAGGGTCCTCCTGGGTCTCTTTATGAGGTTCCAGAGTTGTCCTGGCTTGCGGACTGCCCCTTGTTCTTGCTGGAGGCATGGCATTCATGCTGTTGGTCTCGCACGCTTGAGTGGCGCGAGGCTCATACGTTTTCCAAGGGTCCAGGTTTTTCTGGGGGGGCAAGCTTGAGCACCCCCACTGCATGCTTGTTCACTCCTTCCCTTCCTCGGGATGTCCATGTAGTGCAGGTACCTTCCCTTTCGGCTGCGTTAGTCCCTGAGGTCTTGCGTGCCCGTGGCCTGTTGGATTCAATCTTGCGGTTCTTTTTCCTTCTCGAGTTGTCCTCGGACTGACTTGAGGAGGACATGAAGGTGCTTGGGGCCGCTCCTGAGTCTGGTGTGTTGACCTCAGTGGTGCGTGCGTAGGCTGCTCTGTTAGAGCTGTTCACGCCAATCCTGTGGGTTGAGGTGTCGCTGTTTTTGCTTCCCGTCTTGCGTGTCGGCAGGCAGTGTTTGCTTCTGTGGAATCCGCTTCGGCCTTGGTTCTAAGGATTTCTAAGCCTTTTTGCCTGTTTCTGTTTGCAGTATCTGCAGGCAGCTGCTTCTAGTTGCCGTCCCATGTCGGATTTGTTGCTTCTGGGAGGAGGGGGGGGGCACATGCAAGGCCGTCAGGGGTCGATGCCATCAGGCAGGACTGGACGAGGTGGGGTTACCTATACATCTCCCCACCGTTCAGCTGTTGCTCCAGGTCCTAGCTCGCTTGGAGACTTACCAGGGAAAAGTTGTCCTTCTGGCTCCTTGGTGGCCGGCCCAGCCTTGGTTTCAGGCCCTAATTGCTCGGTGTCCGAACCCAAGGGTCTTCCTGCGGCTCTGCCTCTTTCAGCACATCGGTCCAGCCCGGTACGTGGCTGGTTCGCTCTTCTCCTCAAGTTTTTGCATCTGGACTTTCTGACTCGGGTCTATCATCATTTGTATGGTGCGCAGGTGGCTTTGTTGATGGTGTCCCACCTGTGTGCTTCATCTCGGCGGCAGTATGAAGTTTCCTGGTGGTCCTTCCATTATTTCGTGTCTCAGATAGGGTTGTCTTGTCCTTCCTTTCGTGGTTGTTCCAGGACTGTCATCGTATGCTGAATACTGTCGTCTCATATCGTGCGGTGCTAGCGGAGCTGCTGCAGTTTGCGTTCGGTATTGATGTTACTTCTCTGTTACGCAAGCTGTCTCGTGTGTTGTTTCACCTCTAGTCTGCTCATGCACCACCCGAGTTGTCCTGGTCGTTGGACCTGGTGCTCTCCTTTCTCTCTTCTCGGTTTGTGGTGGCCCCTTCAGTTCAGGATTCTTTCTAAAGCTCTTTTTTTTTCTATTGGCATTGGTCTCAAGGAGTCGGGTTGGGGAACTTCATAGTCTACTCCGGTGCAGGGGGTTTCTGCTCTTTTGGCCCTGGTGATAGGTTTGTTCATTTGCAGCCTTCACCAGAATGAATCTGCTGCTTTCCAGAGGGGTCTTTGGGTTGTTGATGCTTAGTTGGTTAGGTCGGGGGTGCATCATGTGTTGTCGGGTAGCGGCCAGTTGCCTCGACTCCGAGTTGAGGAGCAAGAGCCGACAGCCTCCCCGGTAAATCCCTATTGTTTGGGTTTCTCTCTCGGTAAGTAGCTCCGGGAAGCCACAGGGGCTTCACCCAGAAAACCAGCGTTGAATGTAATAAAACGCCATTTTCTGGGCGAGACCTGGAGGTGCTCTGGCAACCCACCCTCCCTCCGTTTGGCTTTTTTTTTTTTTTTTTTTTTTGCGTGTTTTGACATCCAGCCTCAGAACTGGGGTGTGGGTAGCCGGTGTGAGGGTCTGGGGCTCCCCCTTTTCCCTCCCGGGATGAGGGGGGGGGGGTTGTGCAGACAGCAGGGCGGCAACGTGGTGACGTCATGCTCGTTTGCTCATTTTAATTTGGAGGAGTTCTCTCCACTAGTACAGTTTTCAGTAGGAATGTTAATCAGAATAGGGGTTTGTTTTGGGACGCTTACCTTTCTGGGTTCCTGACACGGTCAATGACAGACATAGAATTCTTCCAACCACACGGGGCTTTCTATAGGCCATTGCTCCTCGTGCCTCTTTGAGGGGGCCAGGTTCTGGCGTGTGGTCCCCAGTAGGAGTAGAACTCCATGCACATTGACTGATGCCAAAGTCTAATGTATCAATATCAGCCTGGATAACTCTGGGGAGCCTCCGGGTCTCACTCAGGAAAAGGCATTTCATTACATTCAATGCTGGATTTTTTACCATTCTTAAATGGCAACTTTATCTTTTATAGTTACTGTATATGTTAATATAAATACTGTACAACACTGTAATGCATAAGTTGTAGAGTTATAATGTTTTATATTTTATTAATCCCTTTTACTATGAGCAATTTCTTATGGCAGGCAAACAAAGAGTACCTGGAACGAAGTATGGCAGAGAGCCAGAATAACCTGAGGGAGCTCATTAAACAAAAACAGTCTGTTGGTGCAGCTTAATGATTCAAGTGGAAACAAGACAATCTGGAGCCAAGTTTAATGTATCACAAATTCCGGGAGGCATCATCTGCACTGATGGACATTTGAGCAAAGTTTAATGAACACAAGCTGCCACTTGGTGAATTCTTTACTCTTGTGCAAGCTTAGCAAGGGTGTACCTTGTATCATCATCATTAATTAAAATTTGCACCTTCTTTTGTGTTCCAGTTAGTTTTTCCATTTACTTTCATTTTTATTGGCATGTACAGTATTTCCATTTTGAATACTGTGCAGTGTGTTTATTTATTTTATAAGTAAATTGTTGTTATACAGCATAATAACGTAATTGTTCATTGATAATCTTTTGATAAAGGTACAGTAATGTACATTGACTTTATCTTGAAGGTGGGGTGTATAGCTTTATTTGTTTAAATATATCCAGCCTATAGGTTGTACAGTGTTTTATGAAGAAAATCTATTAAATGCACCTCAAATTCTAATTTGCAAGAGCCTTTCAAAACCCTAAACGTGAACTAAACACAAAGTTGTTAACTATTGGTGATTGATGTATGAATATTACCTACATGCTTTCTTATATTGGCATCCTTAATGATATTTAGCGCCTTTTGAATATCCTGCACATTTGTTGGTGCTACATAGCCTTCCTGGCTTGGTGCCTTCTTTTGATAATTACTTGCCTACCTACATGCTTTGACAATAAAAGGTGGGGGAGACATCAAGTTTACAAGAAGCTACTGACGTTCATTTTGGACAACTGTAAATGATAGGTAGATTTAGTGAAAAACTGGAGATTTTCTTGTCAACTACAAACATGTTAATTTTCAGACTTTTTTCATATTTAATTAAGTACTGTAATGAATTTTGTCCCAAATGGCACTTCCCCACTTTTCAACGAGAGATCTACTGTATCAAATATTCATTCATTCTAGTACAAAGACCCTATCCCCCCCCTCCCAACTCAAGATCAACCCACACAAGGTGGCCTCACATGGGCGACTCCTAAAGATGTTGATCAGATTACCTGTACAGGTGGCTGTAGTCAGTGGGTGTCATAGTATGCCAGCTCCAATGGCAAGTGACGGGGGGGGTAGAACCCACCTGAGAATTTGGCCAATAAGCCTTCTTGACCTATGCAGTGGTACCTTCATTGACGAGTACTTCAGAGACGCATTGTCAACCAAAACGAATTTTTCCATCAGAAATAATATAAATTGAATTAATACATTTCACACTGGCAAAAATATTAACTTATTAATACATTTTATGCCGAATAACACTGATTTTGTACTAGCTTCAATAAAATACGTTGTGTGTATCTTACCTTGAATGAGGACTTGTTGGCATATGGAAGATGGAGAGGAGGAGAAGTGTTAGTGTTAGGAAGGGGCAGTCCCCTTCCATTATAACAATAGTGATGACAATTCTGAGGTACTCTCTCTCTCTTACGTTTTGAAGGAATACCACTAGGCCTGCTAAGGTTGTGACTCGCTGCTTGCTTGTCTTACTAAGAATCTGTCTAAAGACACTTGTTTTTCCCTATGTTTTAACACTTATGTAGCAGAGACATCATTCATTCCCTAAGAATGATCTCCTGTTTTCACACTATAGTCTTTTTCACAACTATTTTCTTACATTGAACTTTACCAGTGAACCAGTGACTTTCTTGGGACCCATGGCATGATATATATAATAAAAGTTATGTTAAAAAAGCAAAAAAGCAGGCAAACAATCAAATTCTTCACAAAGAATTCAAGCACGGCCGCAGTCGTCACTACATACAATAGACGTGTAAACAAAGTGCTTCGCCCCCAGCACCACACACTTGTTCGACCCATACACGTATGAACAGAAGTCGCCGTCAAAGCAAACCATCATGTACCAATTCGAATTTGACGTGTTCCAAAAAATTCGTCTTCTAGGGCAGTCGTCAACCAAGGTTGCACTGTATTATGTTATTTACTTTTGAGCTTAGCCTAGTGTGGCATGTGTGCAATAATAACCAGCTTATCTTACTGTTAATATTTATTTGGATATTATTATTATTGCATGTTTTAATCATTATTACTGCTGGCACAGTGTTAATATACAGTACAAGATATGGCAAGTATAAATTCCTCCGTTAAACGACTTCGGCTAAGCACATCCATGACTAATGGAATTTCTCATGGGAGGAACTAAGGTGGTAGTTCTTCTGAGACTTATTCCATTGCTAGATACAGCCATGAGCATGCATACCTGACCTGGACTGTGGTCGTATTATTGTGTTGCACAAGTTTTAAATTACCTTCCCACAAAGGTAGTAAATTCCATAATTTTATTCAGAGCAACATAACTAATTTCTAATTATAGTTAAGGGGCATTAGGAAATATCTGGTTGCTATTACATGTCACAAAATAAATGTTATTTGTAGTAAATTGGACATTTTTTCTTTAATCAAGTCACCTAGTGCATGACGAACAGTACCCTACATATACAGTGCTAGTTATTCTAATGTCATGTCCAGCTGATTCAGATTACACTTGCAGCATCAGGTAAGTTTAAAGCAGACTGGTAAGTTGTCCCGCATCAGTGGGTCACTTGGAGGAGAAAATTGTTGTTCAAGTGATTGCAGCAGAAAGCCCATAGATTACGGTGAAAACACACACGACAATAATTTGTGCAAATAAATAAGGACACTTCAGTTACAAAAAGAGTGGACTAAGAGAATGTAGGACTAAATTCCAAAAAATATTAAATCAATAAAGCCATTTAATAAAGAACAAAATCAAAATAGCACTAAAATATTAATTGGCTAGCACCAAACTTGGGAATGCATGGCAGATCTAATACTGAAACATTAGTTTGAATGAAAATTGGGGAAAAGTTTTATCCTGTGTTGTATATACTTTTCCTTTAGTATTTCCACAGTGATAATTTCATTAATAATCAAACTCGTCTATTTGACAATTTTTTTTTTTTTATAATATACTGTTCATTACAAACCATGACTACCTGTTACTGTTTAATACAATAGCATAATGAATTATAAATAAATATAATTTTAGTTTTCTAGCACTGCATTCAAACTACTGTACTAACCTTAATGTGTTTCAGAGACTGCATTTTTAGAGAAAATATATAAATTGCAAATACTTAAAAAAAAAAAAAAATACTCTACTAATACATTCAACACATTTATGAACAGCAATATATGACTTAGTACTAGAAATGCATAAAAATCACAACGCTTGTTAGTTTGCAAAATAATTCTAGTCAATTCCAAGCCGTAATATGTCTGTATTCTCCAAAATTTCCACTTTGGGTTCCTCAGACTTAGCAGATGTTTGGGATTCTAAGGTGTTGGCAATCATTGCACTAGCAACTGTGTCAGTTCCAACACTGACTTTGTTTCGCCAGTCAAAACCTCGAACTACAATCTGCAACGGTGAAATAAGAGACAAATAAGAAAGTGCTGTACTTATGGCTACATCATAAATCAAAATATCTGAAAGTTATATTATAGTAAACAGTATCTTTGTCTGAAATGGACCTTGAAGTTGAATGCTTGTAAAGAAAATTGCAAATGAGTAGGAACTGAACAGATATGCATACAAAATATGTACAAACTTCTGAATATAAAAAAAAAATTATGTAATAGGACAAAATAGTTACAAAAAATTGCAATATAGGCTACTCAAATAGGTGTAATGCAACCTTGTTTTTACAAACTGTCATACACTATATGGGATCAGCTCTGCGATGTTCCATCATTGGAGTCATTTCACTTAAACAGTAAAATGCCAATGTACCAACTTGCTACAAGCATAAAATCAGTATTGACTGTATTAAAACACCAATTTCTGGGTAAGCCCTGATGACTCCCTAAAGCTGCTACAGTATACACTGAGGTGATACCATCTACAGTAACACTTCGGCTTACAAATGCCCCTCTTTACGAATTTATCAAGTTACAAGCCTAATTTCTTCATAAAATCCGAATGGAGTTTTAAACTTATGGCCGACCGAGCACATGGTAGTACAGTGACTGCACCTCAGTTTATCAGTCCCTCCTGCCTAGTGACAATCGTGCCCGAGTTCTTTGTAAAGAATTTCAGTGTTTTTTTTTCAGATTTTTGAGTATTTGAACATAAAAGTAATTATTATATATCTCACCATAGCTCCCAAGAAAGTACAGGTAGGTGGTAAGGTTCAACTTAGGAAAATAGTTGTGAGTAGAGGATGTCCCTTCCTCATTAAGAAAAATGTGTGAAGTATGGGGAAGAACTGCAAAGTTTTGTTGAAAAAAACTCGCCCAGATAAAGCTGTAGCAAGCCGTTGCATTGACCTTTTTAAATGACAATGTGATTGTCTCACTACAGAAGTGTTAAAATGTAGGGAAAACAAGTCTATGGAAAGGTTCTTAGTGAGACAAACAAGCAGTGATCCACAACCAGATCCTAGTGGTATGCCTGCAAAACGTAGGAGAGACAGTACCCCAGAGAAGCCATCACTGCCTGATGTTATAATGGAAGGGCACTCCCCTTACAAACACTTCTCCCCCCCCCCCACATCCTCACCATCTTCCATATGCCAACAAGAGTCATCAATAAAGGTAAGCAATAACTTGTAGATACTTTAGTACTAAAGATTTGGGTGAATTAGGTATAAAATTTACCTTGAAGTTAATATTTTTGAGTGTGGAATAGATTAATTTACATCATTTCTTATGGGGAAAATTTGCTTCGGTTTGCGAATTTCTGGGTACTGACCATCTCTGGGAATGGATTATATTCGTAAACGGAGGGAGCCACTGTACTAGTTTGCATTAGCCTTGAATTTTTTTTTCTTTTTTTTCCCAATCTATATGGAAAATGTACCTAACAACTTGGTCATCAAGATGCATTTATATGTTGAATTTGTAGTAAAGGGTGGAATATATTGAAAGTAAATGGAGTAAACATCATTTCAGTAATGGATATACAGCATATAAAGGAAGCAATTATTGAAGAAAATAATAGAATTATTATGTTACGGTATCCAGACAGGTTTTTAATACTTATACAGTGGTACCTTCGTTTACGATCGTAAACCATTCCTAGAGACATGTCATCAAACAAAACTAATTTTTCCATAAGAAATAATGTAAATTGAATTAATCCATAACACCCCCCCCCCCCAAATAATAACTTAAAAATACAGTTTATACTGAATAACACTCATTTTGTATTAGCTACAATACAGTATGTATACAGTATCTTACCTTGAATGAGGACTCTTGTTGGAATATGGAAGACGGTGAGGAGAGGGGTTAGTATTTGGAAGGAGAGTTCCCTTCCATTATAACATCAGGCAGTGATGACTCTTCTGGGGTACTCACTCTCTCCTAAGTTTTGCAGGCATACCACTAGTACCTGCTTTTGGCTCACTGTTTTTCTCACTAAAAACCTGTCTAGCAACACTTGTTTATCCTCTATGGTTATCCTCACAATTATTTTCTTTGGTTGAACTTTACCACTGACTTTCTTGAGATCCATGGTGTGATATATAATAAGAACTTTTATGTTATAAAAGCAAAAAAACAGTCAAACAATGAAATTCTTTGCAAGGAATTCAAGCATGGCCGCGGTTATCACTATCAGGGAGCCGGTCGGCCGAGCGGACAGCACGCTGGACTTGTGATCCTGTGGTCCCGGGTTCGATCCTGGGTGCTGGCGAGAAACAATGGGCAGAGTTTCTTTCACCCTATGCCCCTGTTACCTAGCATTAAAATAGGTACCTGGGTGTTAGTCAACTGTCACGGGCTGCTTCCTGGGGGTGGAGGCCTGGCAGAGTTTCTTTCACCCTATGCCCCTGTTACCTAGCATTAAAATAGATACCTGGGTGTTAGTCAACTGTCACGGGCTGCTTCCTGGGGGTGGAGGCCTGGTCGAGGACCGGGCCGCGGGGACACTAAAGCCCCGAAATCATCTCGAGATAACCTCAAGATAACACGGGATAGACTTGTAAACAAGCTGAGAGTGCCTTGCCCTGCACCCCCTGCACCAAGCGCTCATTTGACCCATACATGTACGAACAGATGTCATCTTCCAAGTAAATTGTCATACACCAATTCAAATTTTACAATGAATTTGATGTATACCAAAAAATTCATACTTTAGGACAGTAGTCAACTGAGGTTCCACTGTATATTAAATTGGTAATATCTACCAATAATAATCTTACTAAAATTATTTTTTTTAAGTAATTACAAGAGGATATCCTAACACTAAAATAACACTTAATATAAATAATTACTATTTTTAAATTACCATGCTATTTGTTCACTCAATGTAAAGAGAAATCTTTGTTATATAATTACCTGTGCAACCTTCTCTAAAGGTCTGGACTCCTCACGGTCGCACAGAAGTAATGAGGGCCGGTATATCGTGAGATGGGGGAAGTTTAAATCTTTAACCAGTTCCTCCACTTCACCTGAGAAGAAAGGCAGATGCAATGGAGAATTACATAAATCATTCATAGATTTGATTATATTTTTCATAGTGATAAATCTAAAAGTTTTAGTTGCATTTTACCCATTTAACACTTTGGCTGCAACAACTTTTTATGGGGGAACCCCTTTAGAGGTTTCCTGGAGGTTTCCACCTGGATAGCCCTACACGGATCATGCCCCACCAAGTCCCTGCAAATCGTAATTGCCAACTAAAGACCAGAGACAGAAAGAGGTTTCTCTGGCCACTCAGAGAGAGAGACAGAGTTAGGGATACTAGATTAACCCAGAGGAAAATCACCAGAAAAGTAGAGCTCACTATAACAAACAATTGCAAGGAAAATATAACTGGAAAATTAGGAACACAGTACAGTAGTTAGGTCTTCAGCACTACTATAGTGAGTAGACGGTTAGAACGAGTTAGGTGAGGTGTTGGAGGCCAAAACCATCAGTAGATTCAAAGCATTATATGAATGCTGGGAAAACAGGACACCACGAGCGTAGCTCTCATCCTGTAACTACACGTAGGTAATTACTCTTTGTAGAGAGAAAAAAAAGATGGAAAAGAAGCCCAATGTGACAGTATGGGCAGGAATTGCCCCCAACCCAGGGATAAAGCAGGGATAAGGCCCAGCTGTATTGATTTGCAGCTGTGCTTAGATTATAAAAGGAAATAGAGTAAAGAGCCAAGGGGGTTGACATTTACTAATGTGTTCAGAGCCAAGGGGGACAGGAATATTTTTACAGATGCAGTAGTTATGTTCAGAGGTTATGTGCAGTAGTGACGAAGCGAATTCGTGAGGAAGATGATGACAGCTGCATGGTTTTGAGTATGTTGGTGAAGTTGTGTGGATTCTGGGCAAGTGGTCTGGAATGTGTGGATGCAAACACACACACCCTCTCTGGGACGATGTTCCTAGTGTGCTACACTATTCACAGCAGTTGTGAGCACAGCATTGAAGGATGACTGTGGAGCTGATATGTATCTACAGTGTTCTGGGGCTGGTGCCCTGGAACAAGACTGCAGCATGGGCTCTAGGGGACATAACCTTTGGACAGAAATCTCCGTTGCTCTGGAGGCTAAGATCATGATAGCCCAGAGCAATGATGGGACATCTGGCAATATTCACCAGGCACACTAACAGAGGTCGTTTATCACGTCGTGTCCGTTTTCATTACATCAACTGCTATCACCTACCTAGAGCAGCCAATGGGTTAAAGAGAGAGACCCTAAACATAATACAGTATTAATAACATCTGCAAAAATATGAACATTATTTTTCATACATAAACTGCAGCTGAACATGGGGCATATTAACAATTTAATATTACATTTAACACAGTAACAGAGTATGAGAACATGCATGTCATCTAGGGATTCCTATATTTTTATTATTACAGAATATTATCTCTAGGTTTGATACTAAATTATTTATTACCTTTGGTTTTAGTGTAGAGAAAAAATGAATTCTTATTAGCACCATTCGAGGTAACCAGATGGAAGTGAGGGCAGTTTGCTTCCTTCAATAGTCGGGCTGCATGAGACACGTAGTCTCTGTCTACATGAACAAACCCTTTAGCACCAGCCTTCCCTCTTGTAGTTCCCAAGCAGCAGAAACCAACCTAAGAGATTGGCAGCATTGTTAAAATTTACAGTTTGATCAATGCTTCACAAAGGATTATATTGGCTGGCTCATGTGTTATTCAGTATAGTAATTGATAAAATAAGGTAACCTACATACAATATTGTAGTTAAATATACAATCTGGTAGTTGTCCAGTTTAATATGCACTAATGTGCTAAAATTTAAAATGGTTCTGCTGTGAAATTATCCTACCAGGAGGAACCAAAAGGATTAAGAATAAAACCAACCAAAAACACACAATTAAACAGCATAGTACAGTACTGTACTTCTAAATCCCAAGAGCATCACTGCTTACCTGTGCACCTTCAAATGCTTCTTTGTAGTCATCTAGCTTTTCAAAGTCAACAATTTTTTGCTCTACTTTGTCACTGTTAACATCTAACTGGCGTCTTGTCACTAATGTGATGCGGGAAAATGCAGCATTGTTGATGAGTTCTCGGACCAGTTGTTTGCCTATCTCCCCTGAAGCCCCTAGCACCAATGCAGTCATCCCTTCACTCATGATGCTTAGTGGCTGAAAGCATTATGCATTGATAAACATGAATACTGTAATGCTTTTTTATTCAGAAAATGGGATCTAAAGGATAATTGTGTGTGGGGATATTGGGCAACACAGGATGCACTAATATTTTCATAACCTTTCAGGTCAAACCGCCAGACATTTTTTAGGACAAGAACTTCTCATTATCAGTAACAATAAAATATAATACTGTATAGAACTGTATACCCAAATACAGTATGGCAAAAACCTTAATACTGTATCTGTGTAAAAGTATAGTGTACATCATTCATAATAGAATAATAAAGCATTTAATTACATAAAATATATGGTTGTGTTTATGTTTTTCCTCTATGTGCACTGTTTTATTTTCCTTGTGTATTACCATTAGGCAATCTTGTGAATACTGAATGATTTGTGACATTTCTTTTATTTAAGTGTACTGTATTAATATAAAGTAGGAAAGATTTCTATCCATACCATTAGTCAGGCTGAAGCACTGTAGCTAAATACAAAAAGATGTTAACCATACACTACGTGAAAAGGGAAGAAATGGTAATGAAACTACAGTGTGTCCCGACTGTCACCAGCCAGTTGCACTGGTATCTGTACTATTTTTTATGCAACTCCCCAAAGCTATCTCAACTTCAGGTGACTTCCTGAAACTATCTCGCTGACATGCCAACCTACTACTGGGTCATATCATTCACAGGAATCATGTTTGGCCTACCAGAGACCAGTGCCAGAACCTGGTCCCCCCCATCACCTTACAGAGGCACAGGGAAGGGGGATGGTTATCATTCTCGTCATTGGGAAAACATCTAGAAAAAACAAAGCATCAAAACAGCCAAAGCAACTCCACAAACAATTCATTCCAAATAACTGGATCACTTGAAACACTATATCTCAAGCCATTTAATACAGATGGCAGCCTAGAACTCTAGGCCCATAACAGGTTCAAAGGTCAGTCCTGTAACTGATGTGATTGAATCCAGTATTGAATCACCAACTGTTGCAGTGGGTCCCACTGCTTCTCAAGCTAAGTGCCAGTTATCCTTTGAACTTTGTTATGCAGGGGGCCATTTACTTGTTATATTGTTCTTTTCTTTTTTGCACTTGGTGCATCTGTGTATTTACTTCCTGCCTCACCATGGAAAGTGAATGAGCTGTTGACTACTCTGCATAGGCCCAAGGCTGGGGGTGTCTTGTTTAGTTGTGTGGGGTGCACTAGGGAACATAAGCACTTGTTTATATGGCATTACAGACACCCTTCATAGCAATTCTTGTAGGCTATATTCTGTCTCTATAGGGAAGTGTCCCTAATGCCTGGGTGTCCTGCTTGGTTAATGATCTTCAGGCCCTAGTGATTCCTCTGCGAGTTTACAGCGTGGCTCGTGGATCGACCTGCCGAGTCCACACTTGCTAAGTACGAGTTTGAAGGGTTCTCGGTCCAGCTACTGGCCGACAATAATTTTCTTTGCCTCTGTCATGCTGCCTTTTGGATCAATAACGCCTTCAACGCAGTCAAGCAATATATGTGCATGCTAGATAGTATTCTCTCAGCGCCTGCTTCTAATAAGACAGCTTACCAAGTAGCTCTCCCTTTACGAGCGAGGTTTTACCATATTCATAGTTAACAGCATGATGCTCGTTTTTCGTCTGAGGGTGGCCCTATCCACTTTAACAGCAGAAGCAGTTGAACCTTCTCTACCCACCGGGAATGCAGTGCCTTCACCTTCACACTTCTTTGGCTCCAATCCTTCTCCTTGGTCCTTGGGACAATGCATTTCTATCCCAGGCATTAGGTGTGAAATATGGCTCTGCCCCAGGTCAACATGGCTGGCTTCTGGGTTTGGAGGAAGCCCGAGTAGGGTCCATGGATGACCTTCAACCCTTGGATGTTAGTTCTTTCAGCAGAGGGTATTTTGCACCTGGGGGATGATTTTTTCCTATCCCCCTTCAATGTATGAGTTTGATTACTCGGTGGCTCTCACAGGGTTTGATCCCATGTGCCATTTGGTGCTTTGGACTTGTTATATTTCTGGAGGTTTCTGTCATCCTGTGTTGTGCAATCTGTGGCTTCTGTAGACTTGTTTTTGTACCTCCTATAGGATTCGAATTTTGCTTCATTGATGGACCTGTCCTCATTTGAGTACAGGTCTGCCTCAGCTTATTGGCCGTTATAATTTCTCAAATTCATCCTGGCTGGCTGACAACCCTTCCTTTTTTCATTGGGGCTTGGCAAGGGTTGTCAAACTTGAAAGCTTGACTGACGACAAGTGAGTTTCATTTTTCTAGTGTTCTTAGGAGAACTTATTCTTATTCTCTGCTTGAGGACTGTCTGTTTGCTCGTGGGCAAGTGGCGGCTCCATGTGCAGCTGCCTGTGCTTTCTGAAGTCCTTTTGCAGATGACCACAGGGCTCATACCAATTTGGCAATTGTCATGCATTTTTGGACTGTGAAGGACTTCTTGCTGAAAAGCTCCCAGAAAGAGTTGAGGCCTTGCTGTCTGTGGAGCCACTTTTGGTAGTCTTACACAAGTTGGTCACCTCATCCTCTGGGAGGTGGTGGCAGTAAGCTTTCAGCTGCCTCCATTTTTCTTGAGGATGCTGTCACTTGAGTCCTTTCAGCTGCAGCTCCTGCCTGTCATTTTCTATGTGGGAGATTTAAATGAATCCCCAGTTCTTTGGTAGGCCAACAGGATGCCTATGTCTAATGTGACTCATCATAGGAAGCCATCTCAGCAACATAGCTTCAGGGAGCCACCAGGCCTCAACCAGAAAGAGGTAAGTAATTATCAAAAGAAGGTGCAAAGCCGAGATGACTATGTAGCTACCAGAAAGGTCTTGCATTCAATGCTTGTTTTTTGCAACTTGCATCTCATGATATTTTGTTGAAAATACTGAACAGCCTATCACCATGTCAGCTTAAAGTACAGGAAATGAGTTAATGAAGGCATCTATGCCATCAACAAATACACAAAGGGTACATGCTATAATGAATTTTGAGCAGAAATTAGGAGTCAATTTAGAGCAAAGTAGAGTCCATAAAACTCTGATATGTACTGAATACAAGGTACTGTAAATGAAAATGATAAAGTAATGCAGAGGAAAAAGGCTAAAGTCATGCTAAAGTAAAGATTGTTGTTGCTGTGTGGGAATAGTGAAGGATAATTTATATTAAAAACAAAAATCTCTAAGTACCAGGATGGCTGCTCATGTAGACTGCAAAGTACTTCCATATGAAAATTAACAATATCGGGCATTGTACTGTATAGTGATGGGTGGCTAAGACACTTTAAACCCTTTATCTGTGCACTATTTTTTGTTCCTGTCTAGGTGCATATACAAATAAAATTCAAAGAAATGCTTTCTCCTTTTTATTTTGCAAAACATTTATTTCTGAAGTCGGGAAAATATAAATACATCTAATTACTGTACTATATTAGTTTGGGACTTTGAAGGTAATCTGTCCTTGAAAGAATTTAACGAAAGGCCCATATTAATTTCATGCACCACCCATTCCCACTGTTTATTAAATGAACTTTACATGACTCCCTACTGATGACACTCTAGCTTTTCTCAATAAGAGCTTACCTTACCTTGCGGTTACCTTGCATTGGTTCCGAGGATCAACATCCCCACAGCCCGTTCTCTGACCAGGCCTCCTGATTAGTGCTCTGGTCAATCAGACTGTTGGATGTGGTTGCTCGCTCCCATATGCTTTAATCACAGCCTGGTATTCTTTGGAGATGTTTATCAAGTTCTCTTTTTGAAAATCATGAGAGGTTGGCTAGTTATGCCTCTTATGTTTAGAGGAAGAGTGTTGAAATTTTGGGTGTTTAATGTTGATCGAGTTCTCTCTCAGCATACCTATTGCACCACTGCTTTTCAATAGGGTTATTTTGCACTTCAGCCATACCCTTTGGCTTCATGTGGTGAATTTTGTGTGTGCAGATTTGTAATTAGTCCCTCTAAGTTGACCAGATCACACACTAGAAGGTGAAGGGACGACGACGTTTCGGTTGTCGACCGATATGACAGTCGATTGTCGACTTGAGAATGGTCCAGGACGGGCCGAAACTTCATCGTCCCTTCACCTTCTAGTGTGTGGTCTGGTCAACATGCTTTAGCCACGTTATTGTGACTCATCGCCTGCATAGTTCCTCTAGTATTTTTCCAAGTGTAGAATATTATATATCTCTCCTGTCTGAATTGTAGAAAATATAGATTTAAAATTGTTAGTGTTCCCAATATTTTATTTTTTATTGAACAGATTCTAGAATTAGAAGATCTTTGCATGTTCTCCAGATAGCAATTTTTCCAGCTTTGAATGAGGCTGTTATTGTGCAACAATATTCCATCCTAGAGAGCAGTAGTGTCTTGAAAAATATCATTAATGTAGTTTTCCATAGAGCAGAATCTGGAACTTATCTTCATTAAACATTTATTCAAATGTTCAAAGTGCACTTCTCGAAATGATTCACACTTTAGACATCTAACTACATAGCCAAGGTGTTAACTTAAAATTTGTCTTAATAGGCATCCCTTTAAAGATAAATTTTTAACTTTTTGCAAGTGCTATCTAGCTGGATATTGGGAAATTATCATCTAAGAATGAGGGCATGTCTATGTATAGTGCAATACTGTACTTGGAATTCAACATTAGTGTACAATTTTGGATGTAACTAAATAAACCACAACATACATTTAACACTACTAAATGCTTTGGTCTACACAAACTAGAACAAGAATGCACAGTATTAATAATGAATACATATACTGTATATGCATATTATATCTATAATGGTAGTGACAACAATGTTTAAAACAAAAGCTATATCTTCTATACCTCATGTAGGTGAATAACGTAAGAGGCTCTAAATTTATCATTTGTAATTTTTATTTTTGCATCTCTATGTTCCAGTGCTTTAATTGGCATGGCAATTATCATCGTAGCACAGACTAAACAGCAGGCAAGAGTGTATCACCTTACTGATCTCTTACCTGACAAACCGACCAACTTACAATTTTATTGACTCGCTGAAAGACAGGAGACCTCATAGAAGTTTATAAATTCTTGCAATACCTGCCAATAATGATAAATTTGCAAATTATACACTATGATATTATGAACAGCACATAATACTGAACTCACTAATCACACTTCAATATTATACATCACCTAAATAATTAAATAATGGAAAATATGCAATGGTGCACCACAAGGAACAAATTAAAACTCCATCTGTAGGTCTAATGCTAAAATTTACTTGAAAATCCTTATGATATACAGTATATGTATAGGCATTCCACTGTAGGGGACAGGAAGTTTATTAGGCTTGTTGAGAAAACCCCCATCACCCAGCCAAAGGCAAAGCAGTCTGCAAGATCACCCACCTAGTTATTAGCCAGACTCAAAGGTGCTCAGCCTAACAAATCAGCCACTCTGCCACACCCACAAAATATTCATGAATTATTACAAATAATTTAGATGGAGCCTGTGTATGATACAATTCTGTATGCACTGTGTATGGAAGCAATTATACTGTATTTTACAAATTAAAAGCAGCTTAACAGCTATACATTGTGTACAGTGGCATTGTATAGTGGATGATGTGCATGTCACTTGATAAATAAGGTTAAGCATCAATGACCTGACAGGCCTGATGTAATATTATTAATACTAATAATACACTACATCATACAATCTTGTGTACTTACTTATGTAGGCCTAATGAGCCCACTTGCTGTGGGTCAGGCTAAAACAAGAATATAACAGTAAGGCTAAGGCTTTGACAGGGAGCAGTGATGTGATTGATGACAGCAGTGAACATCATTGATCTTACCAACTGGCACAACGCCATCCATATTCACATTATGCACTTGATCACGATAATACTGTATATTGATGATGGAAACATGCAACTGCTCTAATATACATGAAAGAGCTTCACGTGATGAATTATAATGAGTAACTCAGGAACTAGATCGTCACCCATGGTACTGACTCAACACCTTAAGTCTCCATATATATACCAAAAAAAAGTCACTCGTCATATGCCAACGCCTTCACAAAAGTGCCCACGGGTATACGCCTTCCTCTTCCAACATTTTAAGGACTTGAATATAATGATTACAAATATTCAAATCCTTGGCATTCCAGAGCAGAGATAGCCTGTAGGTGAAGGCAGGGCGCTCACCCCACACTCTGCCCTTGTCACCCGTCCCTCTACACTACCACCACTCACACACCATGCCCCGGGCCCATAACCATCCTCTACACTTCTTTACAACAAGAAACTAGAACGTCCACGGTCGTACCTGGGTGTTGGAGGGGTTAAAGTTGTGCTGGGGGAGTGGTATGGGTGGGGGTTGGTGTGGCTGGTGGTGAGCTGGCTGCTGCACCCCGGCCCCCTCTACCCGCCCCACCAGCTACACCACTCGATACAGATTTATCTGATCCCACCAAGCATAAACTCTACTTTAAATAACAGTACCATACATAATTACGGTTGACGGGTGCCACGGTAGCCAGTCACTGCTGCTATGGCCCCAGTCCAATTAAATTTACCTTTTTACCTGAGGGGCCACTAACCCTAGTGGCCTCGACAAAGACAGGAAGCCGGCGGCTTGTCGAAGGTCCCCCCCTCCACCTCATTTGCATTGTTCTTTTCTAGGTATATTTTAAAACTCAACACAGTTTTGGCAGTTACGGCTTCGACGGGTAAGCGGTTCCACGGGTTAATAACCCGGTGGGTGAAAAAGCATCGATCTCCTGTTCTCAGTCCTACATTGTGGCTTGTTGAGTTTGAAACTGTTGCTCCTTGTTTGTGTTACATCTGACCTTCTGAAGAAAATATATGGATCAACATCCTTTAACTTGCTCAGTATTTTAAAAGTTTCAATGAGATCTGCCGTCATGCCTGGTTTGCAGTGTAGCCTAATCTAGTGGCCTTCAAGCGTTCCTGATACGGGAGATATCTTGAGGTTATCTTGAGATGATTTCGGGGCTTATTTTTTAGTGTCCCCGCGGCCCGGTCCTCGACCAGGCCTCCACCCCCAGGAAGCAGCCCGTGACAGCTGACTAACTCCCAGGTACCTATTTACTGCTAGGTAACAGGGGCATTCAGGGTGAAAGAAACTTTGCCCATTTGTTTCTGCCTCGTGCGGGAATCGAACCCGCGCCACAGAATTACGAGTCCTGCGCGCTATCCACCAGGCTACGAGGAGATGACTTAGTTTTGGAATGACTTTTGTTACCTGATGTTGAACCTCTCCCAGAGCAGCTATGCCTTTCTGGAAATGAGGTCTCAATGCTTAGATACAGTAATCCAAATGGACACAGTATCACCAGAGCACCTGAGATTTATGCTTCCATCAATGTTTGTCAACATCATCAATGTAAATAAATAAATAAATAAATGTTTATTTAGGTAAGGTACATACATACAAGAAATTTTTACAAAGATTGGTTGACTTATAGGTAGAGCTAGTACATACAATGCCTAAAGCCACTATTACGCAAAGCGTTTCGGGCATGTCTGTATGTATGTTTGTATGTATGTACTTTACCTGAATAAACATTTTATTTAATTTGATTTTGTTAAACAATGCTGTTTGTTCACCAACTTGTACAATTGCTGATTTCTGCCATGCTCCCCCTTTTTATTTTTTATTCCTTTTTACAACACAATTTATACCTAATCATAATTATTATTAAGTTTTAGTCTAAGTGGGGTTTTTTTCCCTCACACCTTCTTGAGGTTATCTTGAGTTGATTTCGGGGCTTTAGTGTCTCCGCGGCCCGGTCCTCGACCAGGCCGCGGAGACACTCGCTGCCCCCAGAAAGCAGCGAGTGACAGCTGACTAACTCCCAGGTACCTATTTACTGCTAGGTAACAGGGGCATAGGGTGAAAGGAACTGCCCATCGTTTCTCGCCGACGCCCGGGATCGAACCCGGGACCACAGGATCACGTGCCCAGCGTGCTGTCCGCTCGGCCAGCCGGCCCACCTTGCCCGAATCGCTATGCGTATTAGTGGCTTTAGGTATTGCATGTACTAGCTCTATCTATAAATCCATTTTTTTCTTGCAATGTATCTGTTATCATTTTATTAATTCTGTTAGAATTTACCTACTTAAAATTATCTGTTAGATTAAGGACCTGCCCGAAACGCTGCGCGTACTAGTGGCTTTACAAGATTGTAAATACTATACTATGTACTCTCACAAATCCAATGTACCTTCTTGTATATAAATAAATAAATAAATAAAATCCAACATTATGTTTGTAAATCAACTATATATGTACTTTTCCTGAATAAAATGTTTTTTATTTATTTATTATTATTATTTATGCAGTTGAACCATTATCTTCCTTTCCTTATAGTATAAAAATACGTTTGATTATCCCAAGAGTTTGGTTAGCGTTTCTGACTGCTGCACCCACCTGTTGTGCAACTTTTAATGAGTGGTGGATTTTGACTCCAAGGTCCTTTTCTTCACCAATCTGCTGTAATGTAATGCTATTAGTTTGGTAGTCGTGGCATGGGTTCTTATGCCCCACATGCATGGGCTTGCATTTTTAAATATTAAAGTATCATATCAATTAGGAATAGCGTAGCTAAGTAGGCCTTAGGACTATCCTGCACAAGACGTGAAGGATTACCTCACCCACGTGTCAAGGGGGTAGTTTAATTAGTTTTATAAACCCTAATGCCTATCCTATGTGTGGTGGTGGTTAAGGTTGCGGTCATTCATTAAACCCCAAAATATTCGTTAATTAAGCTAAGAAATTTTCAGTTGTGGTAAACAGTTTTAATTTGTTTGAAATTTGTGATCAAGTTACACGGATATTGATCTAATTACAGTACTGCAGATAGTGTTAAAGTACATGGTCAACCTAACCCTAGGAACGGTCAAACAAACCTTTGATTTCACGGAAAAGAAAATGGCTATTCAACGGTGCAAAGGTGTACAGAAGCAAAGCACTTATAAGTACGAGAGCACGGAGAAACCACAGGGACAGCAACAAAGAACAGAGAGAGGTGTCAGGGGTGGCCAGGAGTGATATCGTATATGAGTATAACATGGCGACTACTTTTGAAAATGGCTTAGCAGATAGAGCAAAGATTCAATCCAAGCTGTACCACAGCCACATTAGGAGAAAAACAACAGTTTTCCAAACAAACAGTTTTCCAACAAACAACAGGAAAAGGTGAGGACATTTAAGATTCGAGAACATTATTACCGAGAATGTGTGTGAGGAAATCAACAAGAGGTTCGAGAACGTCATCACAATAAAGCATGGGGTAAATGCTTGAATTAAGTGGGATGTTGTCACTTGTCAAACCAGTCAGAACTAAAGGACATCATGATTTCCAGAGATGAAGTATGGAGGTTTCTGTTGGAGATAGGCACGACTGATGCTATTTGACCAGATAAACTCACCGTGGATACTGAAAGAAGTCTTGTAACACATCTGGAGATATGACGGTGTACAATGTACCATTACCATTGAGTTCAGGGATGATCAATCTTCCTCAGAAGATTGATCATCCCTCAAGCCTCACAAACATGATGGATTTCTATGACCGGGCGAAATAAATCAGACAAGATATTGAAAGGTGGGGCAGACTACATATTTTTAGATTGCAAGAAAGCCTTTGATACAGTTCCTAATAAGAGATTAGCGCACTGGTAGAGAAGCAGACAGGTGATAAGGAAGATGCTCCAGTGGACAAAGGACCATCCAATAAACATAAAACAGAGTGAGAAGAACGATTTCGGAGGGGTGAGATGTCATCAGCGGAGTTCCACAATTAGGAGTTCAAGTTGTAGTGAAATTAGGTAAAGGGAGCGGGATGCCGAACACAAGGTACCATCTGGGTGGTGAAATCCTTCAAGAGTCAGGTAGAGAGAAAGATCTGGTGTTGATATCACACCGAACCTGTCCCCAGAAGCCCACATCCAAAAGATATCATCAGCAGCATATGCTAGATTGGCCAATATAAGAATTGCCTTAAGAAACCTGTGTAAGGAATCATTCAGAACCTTGTATACCACATATGTCAGACCAATCCTGGAGTCTGCAGCTTCAGCCTAGAATCCATACCTAGTTAAACACAAGACAAATTTAGGGAAGACTCAGAGGTATGTCACCAGACTAGTCCTGGAGAATCATTCAAGTGCACGATTCAAACTACCACTGACAAGATATATATAGGATGGACAATAATTAAACTACCACTCACGGGATGAGTATGGGGTGCACAATAAACAACCGCTCTCGGGATGAGCATGGGGTGCACAATAAACTACTGCTAACAGAGTGTTCAGTGCCTGGGGTAGTAAACAAATGAAGTGTTCAGTGTATGGATAGTGGACAAGTGGAATGTTCAGCGCATGGTTAGACAATAAGCGAAGTGTTAGTGAACAAGTGAGGTGTTCAGTGTATAGTTGGTAAACAAGTGGGGTGTTCAGTGTACACTTAATGAACAAGTGGATTCTTCAGTGTATAGGTAATGAACAAGTGGAGTGTTCAGTGTAAATAGTAAACAAGTGAAATGTTCAGTACACGGGTAATCGGTTGACAACCCAATGGTCCCGATTAATTTTCAAGCTGGACGGGACGTTTGGGTAACGTTTCTTTACACCTGATACCTCTGTTCACCTAGCAGTGAATGTATCTCCGGAGTAACTCAACTGTTGTGGCATGCATCCTTTTAAAGTCTGACTAGTTCTGAATCGTCAAGGCAACTAAGTGGAATGAGTCTCACGTCCATTGATTCTGAAGCGGAATGATACTGAAGTCCATTCATAGTGTTAAAGGTGGGAATTTTGTATGAGATAGCATCTAGGTAGGAACTTTGTATCAGACAACCGACAGTCAATCACCGGGTTCCAGTTCGATCCCCGCAAACACAGCTAGGTATATTTAAGAGTCTGGCTCTGGCTACTCACCACTCTGGCTCTTTGACCAAAGAGCCAGAGCTCAACCCCCGCAAGCACAACTAGGCAAGTACAACTAGGTAAGTATATAGTTAAGTGAATATTCATTGCCGTAAAACATACTTAAAAGAATTGCACCCATTGTACAGGTTAACAATCAGATCCGTGGTTTACCAGAGGAGCGTTATTACTGTTTAAATAATTATCATGTGTTTTATCCGTAAGACGCTAAGTAATTAAAATGGTAAATGTGAAGACTGGAAGCTCCTAGACTCCCATGTGCGGTGTCTGGTGGCGTCCCGTTGCTATGGAGACGCGTCATGACGTAACACCAACCTCGTTACCTGACGTACGAATCATTTTACGCAATATGAGATAATACAGACATTATAATGATTAATTGCTTCTTAATATAGTACACAATAAAGAATGACTCCCCCCCAACTGAATTGAATGAAACCTCTCTTTTAGGATGAAAATATTTTACAGGTTGGGGTTGGATGATGAGAGACGGGGTACCAGGTGTAGGAGAGCATGTCTGTCAGTACTTGTTACGTGTTGGTCAGTGGGGCCCGTCTCCTCCTGGCAACGCGGGTCAACGCTCAACATGACCTGAGACAACCACACGTTCACCAGGTCAACGTATTTCAGGTCATTCCAGGCTCAACGGCTCTACTTCTCCTCCCTTGATTGATAAACAAAATATACGCCAGGTATTGTTTGTTGCCACTGTTTATAGTGTTTGTTGTCTTGGTTTATAGTATGTGTTGTCTCAGTTTATGGTGTTTGTTGTCTCAGTTTATGGTGTTTGTTGTCTCAGTTTATGGTGTTTGTTGTTTCAGTTTATGGTGTTTGTTGTCTCAGTTTATGATGTTTGTTGCCACTGTTTATAGTGTTTGTTGTCTTGGTTTATAGTATGTGTTGTCTCAGTTTATGATGTTTGTTGTCTCAGTTTATGGTGTTTGTTGTTTCAGTTTATGGTGTTTGTTGTCTCAGTTTATGATGTTTGTTGCCACTGTTTATAGTGTTTGTTGTCTTGGTTTATAGTGTTTGTTGTCTCAGTTTATGGTGTTTGTTGTTTCAGTTTATGATGTTTGTTGTTTCAGTTTATAATGTTTGTTGTTTCAGTTTATAATGTTTGTTGTTTCAGTTTATGATGTTTGTTGTCTCAGTTTATGGTGTTTGTTGTCTCAGTTTATGGTGTTTGTTGTTACAGTTTATGGTGTTTGTTGTCTCAGTTTATGATGTTTGTTGTCTCAGTTTATGATGTTTGTTGTCTCAGTTTATGATGTTTGTTGTCTCAGTTTATGGTGTTTGTTATCTCAGTTTATGGTGTTTGTTGTCTCAGTTTATGGTGTTTGTTGTCTCAGTTTATGATGTTTGTTGTCTCAGTTTATGGTGTTTGTTGTCTCAGTTTATGGTGTTTGTTGTCTCAGTTTATGGTGTTTGTTGTCTCAGTTTATGGTGTTTGTTGTCTCAGTTTATGGTGTTTGTTGTCTCAGTTTATGATGTTTGTTGTCTCAGTTTATGATGTTTGTTGTCTCAGTTTATGATGTTTGTTGTCTCAGTTTATGGTGTTTGTTATCTCAGTTTATGGTGTTTGTTGTCTCAGTTTATGGTGTTTGTTGTCTCAGTTTATTATGTTTGTTGTCTCAGTTTGATGTTTGTTGTCTCGGTTTATGGTGTTTGTTGTCTCAGTTTATGGTGTTTGTTGTCTCAGTTTATGGTGTTGTCTTGGTTTATGGTGGTTTGTTGTCTTGGTTTACAGTATGTGTTGTCTATTTTTGGTTTTTATTTTCTCAGTTTATGGTGTTTGTAGCCTTAGTGTGTTACGATTGCCATCTTGTTTGTATCCTTCTCGGCTTCAAGAATAATTTTCCCATCCCCTTGTGTATACTAGACGGCCACATGACGTTTTAGTTAATAAAGAAAGGCTGCGAGTTACAGGACTTCTGATAAATTCGAATTTTACGTTGTCAAGAGGGTGTAGCCTAGTGACATTTCCCAAGATGGCGGTTGCGGCATCGTTGCTGGAAAGAACATTTTTGGCGCCTAGAGACAGGCGAGAACGTTGGAGACAAGGATGAAGAAAAGGAAGATGATTGGTTGCAGTTGCTTGAAGAAACCAAGGTTACGTCATCAGCGAGAACAAACGTGGTGGCCTGTCATTTGGGCTGGAAACTGCCAGTGTACTCTGAGATTTGGTGGAGAGTAGATTCGTTCCCTGAGCTCCAGGATTTTTATAACAAATCGTCGATTGTGAGGATGGCCGAGGCCGTGAAATATTATGGGCCTTGTATCATTACAAGGAGCAACCTAGTTAACCTCAGGGAGGTTATTTCCTAGTTTTCTCTAAGAATTTGCAAGTTCAGATGCCCAGTTGAGCGGACTCCATTATGCAGAGGCTACGTGAAAGGACACTTCAGCTTGTTCCGGATGTGCCGCATTTTCTGAGGACAGTCCCAGCCTAGGAGGACTGGTATTGCTGAGGTAAGAAGTGCAATGAAGATGTTACATGCAAAAGTAACCCTGAATTTGCCAAGTGAGAGAAACGAGGTAGGGAGTAGAGAAGTGTGATAGCCTATTGTAATTTGGAGACATTCGTGAGAAGTGAAAAGCTGTGATTTTTCTCCAGTGACATTGGGCTGTGCAGTAGCCCAAGTGAACAGACTGTTCTAGTGATATTTAGTAGTGGTAGCCCTCTGGGAGGAGTCACTGGTATCTGGCTACGAGTGTTAAGAGGTTGTCTCGAGGTGTGAGAGCCTCTCGGTATTGCAGTGACGAGGTACGGTGAGCACCTGGGCTTCTCATAGTCACACGGCAGGTAGCCTGGATTACGCAAGGCCTGCAGTGGACCTCCGCACCAGTGAGTGAGTGGTGACAAGACACCAGCATTGGCGCCCATTGTGGGAGTAGCTGCGAAATTTTCCCGCGCGCCTGTGACCACACACGGAAGTAAGGGCGGTCAGCTGGTCGGCACCAGGGATCTGTTGTTTAGTAACATTTCCATCCTTATTTCCCCTTTTAGAAGTATGGTTCCTAGGAACAATTTAGGTTTGGCGTATGCTTGAGTATCTAATGTCTTTGATCATTCTTTTGCCTATAATTATTGTTGAAATTATAATTTCTGAGACGACTAGGAGAGCCAGTGGTATTTATTTGCTTCGTGATTTTCAAGTACTAGCAAAGTTGAAATAAGCCGTGTCAATTTAGATTTAAGAGTTTTCTCTTTCATTTCCATTATGACACTCGGGAAGTGTTTGTGAATAAAAAAAAAATATGAGTTTAGAAGGCCATGGCAGTCTAATGAGCTGAGAGACGGCTGGTCATTTAATTTCAATTTTGAGAGGAGGCTATTAACGGATCTTTTCTTTTGTGCTTTTCTTTCAATTATATTACATTTTATGAACGTTGCGTTTCGGCGTCTCTCCTTTGTCTGGATTAGTTAATTAACCCTACATAGGCTGAGTTACAAATAATTTCTGAACACTTGTGGAACACATTAGGGAGATGATAGGCTTGAGTACATTTCTGCAAACGCCGTGAAAGTGAAGGGACGTGTGCATTAATTCTGGCCGTTCGTCCCGAACATTTGAGAGATCCTTCAGTGTCACTGTCAGTGTAGTGATACGGTTAAGCTGCCCGAGTGATTCTATAAGAAGTAAGGAGTATCCTAGCCTCCCATTTATATTTTTGTGGTTGTATGAAGAGCGACAGGGGTGAGTAGAGTATATGGTGTATACTGGGTGTGGGAGCTCCTATACTCAAAGTGAAGAGCTTTTGGACGGCCTGCTGACTAAGAATGTGCCCTGTACAGGCACGAAACAACTGAGTGTGAAGCAGCTGGTGGTAGAGGTTCACCAGTTGAGGTTTCTTGCTCATTTCACCACTCTTTGGAGCTGTGAGACAGGTCCTCCGAGAAGCTGCAGGGATCTTTGTTGCCTGTATGTTGCTATCATGAGGATTGTGCAAAAAGTGTTTGTTTTCTCGGTTTACAGTGTTGTCTCAGTTTACAGTGATTGTTGTCTCGGTTTACAGTGCTTGCTGTCTCGGTTTACAGTGTTTTGTCTCGGTTTAGTGCTTGTTGTCTCGGTTTACAGTGCTTGTTGTCTCGGTTTACAGTGCTTGATGTCTCGGTTTACAGTGCTTGTTGTCTCGGTTTACAGTGCTTGTTGTCTCGGTTTACAGTGCTTGTTGCCTCGGTTTACAGTGCTTGTTGCTTCGGTTTACAGTGCTTGTTGTCTCGGTTTACAGTGCTTGTTGTCTCGGTTTACAGTGCTTGTTGTCTCGGTTTACAGTGCTTGTTGTTTGGGTTTACAGTGCTCGTTGTCTCGGTTTATAGTGTTTGTTGTCTCAGTTTTTAGTGTTATACCGTAACAAGAGAGAGGCTGCCACCAGGGGCACTGCCCTACCATCACCGAGTGAAAGCTGGCATCCACAGGTATTGCTCTGCTATCATCGAGTGAAGGTTGCATGTCCTGTCATGATGAGCTAGCCAGGAAGTGACACCGGTTCATGTCAGAACCGGCCAGCCTGGAAGTGACATCGGTTCATGTCAGAACCGGCCAGCCTGGAAGTGACATCGGTTCATGTCAGAACCGGCCAGCCTGGAAGTGACATCGGTTCATGTCAGAACCGGCCAGCCAGGAAGTGACATCGGTTCATGTTAGAACCGGCCAGCCTGGAAGTGACATCGGTTCATGTCAGAACCTGCCAGCCTGGAAGTGACATCGGTTCATGTCAGAACCGGCCAGCCTGGAAGTGATATCGGTTCATCGACACACACACACACACACACACACACACACACACACACACACACACACACACACACACACACACACACACACACACACACACACACACACACACATACACACACACACACACACACACACACTACTAGCTTTAAACACACTACTAGATTTAAACTAGCTAAACACAGATGCCGAAGAAATATAAGAAAATTCACCTTCGCAAATAGAGTGGTAGACGGTTGGAACAAGTTAAGTGAGAAGGTGGTGGAGGCCAAGACCGTCAGTAGTTTCAAAGCGTTATATGACAAAGAGTGCTGGGAAGACGGGACACCACGGGCGTAGCTCTCATCCTGTAACTACACTTAGGTAATTACACTTAGGTAATTACACACACACACACACATATATATATATATATATATATATATATATATATATATATATATATATATATATATATATATATATATATATATATATATATATAAAATATGAATTCTTACATGTAAAGCGTTTCGGGCAGGTCCTTAATCTTATCCCCCCCCCCCACTAAATACGACCCGCCAAATCGTTTAACCAGGTACCCATTCACTGCTGGGTGAACAGAGGCAACAGTTAAGTATTGGCACCCGGTGAATCCTCGCTGGATAGGATACGAACCTAGGCCTAAGAGCTCGCGAAGCGCCGTGCTTTGCCATTACGCCACGGGGACTGTTATTGGATGAGTCCTGTACACGGCTGTGGCTACCCGCAACTAGTCCTTTAATCATTCCTCTTCTTAGAGTTGTATATCAATCTAATCATTAGTGCAGCGTTAATCGTTGCCGCAGGTATTTGCAAAAGAACATGAGAATTAATAAAAGTGCAGAAAGCCAATTAGCCCATACGAGGTAGCACTTAGTTTTTTCTACCCAAATTTTCTCAATCGATCTTCCCATATCTTGAAGAAAGATATGCCATTTGCCCTTATGCCATTTCCCATATCTTGAGTCACCTTGAGATGATTTCGGGGCTTAGCGTCCCCGAGGCCCGGTCCTCGACCAGGCCTCCTTTTTGTTACACACCCCTAGGAAGCAGCCCGCAGCAGCTGTCTAACTCCCAGGTACCTATTTACTGCTAGGTGAACAGGGTATCAGGGTGAAAGAAACTTTTTGCCCATTTGTCTTCGCCTCCACCAGGGATCGAACCCGGAACCTCAGGACTACGAATCCGAAGCACTGTCCACTCAGCTGTCAGGCGCCCTGAGAAGTTTAAAATTTCTGGAATTAACTTTGTCAACCATTCGATCCATAGTATATCGACTAAAATTGGACTGTATAATCTAAATAGGCCTGTAAGAGGAAGATATAGCTGAAGAAATGGCATTAAGGGTTCTATTTTTAACGCGTCTAGAAAAAATCCCAGTATCCTGTTTGACTTATTTCGAACATTTATGCAATAATTTTTGTTTTTTTTTTAAATTCCAACTAATCATGACTAATCATGATATTTTTCGCAATTAAACTTTCTAATTTCAATACTATCCAGCTGATATTTAGTAACTATCATTGGTACCTAGCCTCTGAACCCTACTTTTGTCAGCAGTACATTTGCCAATTTTTCGACCTTTTCAAAATTCATTTAGTCATTGATATTCAGTCGAATCGACTTTTAAGGTATGCTACATTCCTTGGCTTTAGTAAGAATATTTTTATATAAGTTACAATTTGAATCTACATCGTAATCCCTCGTTGTCACTTGCCAAAAACAGGCCACCTCCATTTCTAACACTAAACAGGGGTTTGAACAAGTACTCCCTCTCAAGACTGCAGCCTGAATTATTGCATGGTCAATCAAGAGTCCTCCGACTGCTGCATTGAATTCTATGGATACGTCTTAATAACAAGCAAACCAGTGTCACTCACGACACTAGGAAATTAAACGTACAGACCCGTATACCCTGACCGATAGTGCTAGCCATTGCATGAGGTGTACATGACGAGTGGCGACCTCGAGCCACAATTAAGTGTCGCATGAACACATGCGTGTTTACCTGCATGGTGTGACCCATGGCAACCCCCGGGGCTTCATCAGCAGCATACCATGTTGGCATCCTTGACCTCGCGCCATCCAGCTTTTTCTCGCCAGTGTAATTTGAGTGAATCATATTATCCATTTTCTGTGTTATGAGGTAGCATGAGTTGTGGCCAGTGGACCGCCAGTGGTTAAACGGTTGACCATGCAAAAGATATCTTACACAGTAGAACAGTCTGTTGACTGAAACCATAGAATCTTGCCGTGTATCAGAGGTCTTACATTGATGCCTGATGCTACTGAGTGTAATAACTTTTGCAATGTTTTGTAATATTTTGCAAAGTGATGCAGGCGATGAGTCACAATAACGTGGCTAAATTATGTTGACCAGACCACACACTAGAAGGTGAAGGGACGACGACGTTTCGGTCCGTCCTGGACCATTTTCAAGTCGATTCCTTGACTTGTCTGGTGGCTAGTGTGTGTATAACGAGGGCTTTATCTACTAGCCTGTTTGTGAGTGTTGGATTGAATCAACTGGTATTCTCGTTACCAAACACGCTTGATTTCTGTCTCCAATACTTCACAATTCGAGTATAGCGTCTGCCTCCACTACTCAACAATTCGTGTATAGCTGCCTCTTACATAACCCTAATTATTCTATCGAATCCATCTGTCGCCAACAAGTTTTTTGTGGAAGGGAGAGGGGGAATTTTGGGAGTGAAGATGATGGTGAATACAGGCGAAGGAAAAATTGTAGAAAGGTGATATTCGGTCAAAAATGCGTTTTGTGCAATATAGGTGCACGGTGGTGTGGGTAGGCTACCCCAGGTGCACGGTGGTGTGGGTAGGCTACCCCAGGTGGACGGTGGTGTGGGTAGGCTACCCCAGGTGCACGGTGGTGTGGGGAGGCTACCCCAGGTGCACGGTGGTGTGGGTAGGCCTGAACACCAGCAGAAGGCGACTGTCAGACTGGTGGTAACAGACAGCGCCTCAGGTACATTGATTGTGCTGGAACAGGCTTCACGGAGCCTGGCTGACAGACTGGATCAGCACTCTCTGAACTCCCCCTTGTTACCTTAATTTACACCCGGCTCTTGGGGGGTGCATTTTGCACTTCCAGCTTATATGAACACGCGACACGCACACGCCTCTTGTGGAATATTTACCCAGTTAGTTTAGATTTCTTTGTCTTATTTTGTCTCATCGATAGTGACTCTTGACTTGTTTGTTTAAGACACGATTGAAACCAAAACGGACGTGAAGTCTTTCTTCTTTTGCAGTGTTGCGGTTATAAATGTGGGCCTTTCTTGACCATGTATGTGTTGTGGAGTGTGTAAATGTGTGTTATTGTGGTCTTGAGTTTGTGCGTGTGATGTAATGCTATCACGCGCCCTCGCTTTGTTGTGCCTGTGTCCGCACCGGTCGCCACAACAGGTTCCGCGGAAGCCATTAGTCGTGTTGATGTAAGGTGTTGGGGCTGGGATTACTGCTCTTCCTGGCCTCGGGTACTCACTGGGCTGGGATTACTGCTCTTCCTGGCCTCGGGTACTCCCTGGGCTGGGATTACTGCTCTTCCTGGCCTCGGGTACTCCCTGGGCTGGGATTACTGCTCTTCCTGGCCTCGGGTACTTCCGGGGCTGGGATTACTGCTCTTCCTGGCCTCGGGTACTTCCCGGGCTGGGATTACTGCTCTTCCTGGCCTCTGGTACTTCCCGGGCTGGGATTACTGCTCTTCCTGGCCTCGGGTACTTCCGGGGCTGGGATTACTGCTCTTCCTGGCCTCGGGTACTTCCTGGGCTGGGATTACTGCTCTTCCTGGCCTCGGGTACTTCCGGGGCTGGGATTACTGCTCTTCCTGGCCTCGGGTACTTCCTGGGCTGGGATTACTGCTCTTCCTGGCCTCGGGGACTCCCTAGGCTGCGATTACTGCTCTTCCTGGCCTCGGGTACTTCCTGTTGGATAAGTGCATGTGGGATTCTCAGCAGTTGTGCGACTCTCACAGCAGGTGTGTTACTGCTACAACAGGTGTGTGTCCACAGGTGTAAGGGATGGACGACCGTACTGTAGACAAGATCTTCTCTGGTAGCCTGGAGACGCTGCCACCCGTCAGCTCCAAGGTGTGTCGCATCTTCACCTCCTCCACCTTCACAGGTACGGCCCCCCCCACCTGTCCTCACCCTCCACCTGTCCTCAGCCTCCACCTGTCCTCACCCTCCGCCCGTCCTCACCCTCCACCTGTCCTCACCCTCCACCTGTCCTCACCCTCCGCCCGTCCTCACCCTCCACCTATCCTCACCCTCCACTTGTAATAATAATAATTTTATTCATAAAATATACATAAGAACATATTACAGAGGTGTATTTGTAGGTAAACTGTAGCATATTAAATAAAGCACTAATACGCTAAACGTTTATGAAGGTAACTGGTGTTTGTTTTGGTTCTAATGATACACATGTGTGGTCGGGCAGACATGTTGATGGAGCGGAACACCCTGATGGCGGAGGTGTACCCGAGGCTGAAGGAGTTCTGCAGGGAGAAGCACGGGCTTGAGTTCCAGGTGGGTCCAGTGTTCAAGGTTGGAGGAGGTGCAGGAGTAGGAGGAGTAGCAGTTCAATAGTAGTGTACGTTAGAGTACCCAGAGTTGTTGACCAAACCACATACTAGAAAGTGAAGAGACGACGACGTTTCGGTCTGTCCAGGACCATTATCAAGTTGATCGACTTGACAATGGTCCTGGACGGACCGAAACGTCGTCGTCTCTTCACTTTCTAGTGTGTGGTTTGGTCAACATT